CTTCTTCTCTTCCACCCACATTTCATAGTCTTCTTATGTTTGTTTTATATATCATGTTCAGGGTTTTTAACTATACTTACCAGGAAGGATAGGGAAAATAAATTTGGACTCAAAAGTCCTTTCTCTATTATTTTAATGTGTTTGTGAAGGTATTGCAGTAATGTCTTTTAGAGACATTCATTTACAGATTAAATATAATGTCTGAGGTAAATGTCAAATAACTTGGGGTCAGTAATGGACAAGTGAGGTTAGTCATGAATTGATAACTGTTGAAGATGGGTGATACATACGTGCAGGTTCATAACCCTGTTTTATATATGTCTGAAATTCTCCTTAAAAAAAAAATTTCCTGACCATCCATTCTAAGTCAAATCACTGGCCCTTGTCTGTGCTCTGTGATATAGGATAAACTTGATTAACATGGACCCAGTCTATCTTGGTTGCAATTATAGTTCCAAAGCTAAAAAGTGCCAGAGTTGACATTCAAATCACCATGTCTCTTCAAATACACTTATAAGATGCCACAGATTTTAAAATACCTTTATTTTACGTACCACTTTTAAAAAACTACTGCACATTAGATTATGATATACCATCAATTTTTAGAAGTATTTGGATTTTAGATGCCACAATGTGGAAAACATTCATTTTGTAATTGATGAAATATGGCATCTGTGGAATAAATGAACACTCTGAAATATTGAGCTTCATACATGTTCAACAGCAGATTAGGGTATATATTTTTGGCTATTTCCAATGCTACAGTGAGTATATTTCTTCCCAAACACTGAATTTTTATGTCTAAGTTTATAGGTTACTGTTAACAATCCTTAATAGAAAATACAACATTTCTACATGATGGTCTTCAGCCTCACACTACCAAGGGCCCCTTTTACTGTTTAATCCTCAAGGTCCCCATATTTTGAAATACTCTGTTATCAAGTAAAATTCACTTGTTAAACTAATTGTCCTCACTTTTCATTGATCAAGTGTGTAGTATTCAGACTGACACAATGTAATTCCAGCTAAAATAGAAGAAACTTGACCTTTTACCTACCCTGTATGGACTTGCCTATAGGTAAAAGTAGCATTTTCCATTAGTAAATCTACTTTTCAGCCTCCAGTGCTACTTTTTTAGAATAAAGATGGCCAGGACTCAAGATGGCAGGTGCTGAATGCTAACTTCTATATTAAGGCAAGGGCATTTAGGTAGCCCTTTTTAATACTGTAAGGCCATTTGTTTACACACTCTTCAAAAGAGGTAGTTGTGTAGGAGGTTTCAACACTATGGTGAACGGACAAGACGCAGGGGTCTACTTATGTTGCTAAATTGATAGCATGAAAGTTAAATTGTTGTTTTTTTTTTTTTAGGTTGGATTGGGACAGCACAGTTAAAAAAACAAAAACAAAGACAAAAGCAATTTGTAGTTCAGTTCACTTACCCTCTCTGTTTAGATCTCAGTTTAGAAATGAATTCAGAAGACAAGTCATTTGTTTTTGTATCACTGAGCAAGGAATTCAGTGATTGCCCAGAGAAGGCACTCATATAAATATGTCAATGGATGGAAGGACAGTGTCTTCAGAACCTTCAAGATAACTTCCCTGTCCCTGATAAGTTCTCTTGACAGAAGATGAAAATTAAGAAACATGACCTCAGGACCCTAGACAAGGAAGAAAAACTAATTCAACCAGAATTCTCTTGACCTTTGGAGTATTCCTCATGTCAATGACCATCTCTACATGCCTATGCTTATGTACATGCTCAGCATCTACATGCTGATGTGGAAAAACAAATTTACATGTAAAACCCAGATGCCTAAGACACACTCTAATTTTTTTAAATGAAAGCATGCACATGAAATCTCAAAAGTGGCATTTGAGAAAAAGAGAGATGATGATAAGGGGATCAGAATTTCTTTATTCTGATTGAGGTGGGGAGAGGGAAGAGGGGGCAGGGGAAAGTGGTGGGGGGAAGACAGAGACAAACGTATTTGGAAAAATAAATAAATTAATTAAAAAAATTTCTTCATTCTCTTCCTACAAAAATCTCATAAATATTAGCACAGAACTCTCCTTATCCCCAAGTTCAAAGTCACCATAACATGTTAACACTACATTTAAAGTCAACAGGAAAAATAAAACTGTTATCAGATGAACACATGCAGTGATTGTTGTCTTGTTTGGGAAACCTTCCACTTGGAAGACTCTGAGATCTGTGTGGGATCTGGTGGGAAGGGGCACGAAGGGCACTCTGATATTAGCACAGAAAAGAGCAGTGGCCGATGGATTTTGGCAGTTTATTCTAATACATATTACTTTGTTCTAATATATATCCAGCCCAGCCCCAAAAGGACAGGATTAAATATTCTGAGCTCATGTTTTAGCAATGGCTGCCTTTTCCTTACCTCCACATGAAGTATTGGGGCCAATCCACAGAGTTGAGAGAAAGTACAGGACCGCTAAATCTTTATTTTTAAAGCAAACACACCAAGATTCAGATCTTCCTTACATCAGAAAAAGCCATGAATATGCAGCCACATAGAAGACTGAAAAAAACTGGTGAGAAACCATACAACCGCTTCTCTTCAACCCAATGAATTCTTTACTCTATCATATTCTGGGGGGTGGGGAGGGGAGTGGCCCTTAATCAGTATTTGGTTTCCAAAGCAATATATATTAAGTACTTGTAAAGCAATCATGAGGTTTGCTTAGATCTTTTCAATCTCTTAAATACTGATTTGGGTCTGCCTGCCCTTAATGTCACTTAACTAGCAGAAAACAGATAGCCCTGATTGACGTGGCTCAGTTGGTTGAGCATCATCCCATAAAGCGAAAGGTTGCTGGTTTGGTTTCCGGTCAGGGTATGTGCCTAGGTAGAAGGCTAGATCCCTGGTTGGGGTGTGTGCGAGAGGCAACTGGTCATGTTTCTCTCACACATCAATGTTTCTCTCCCTCTTTCACCATCCCTTCCCTCTCTATAAAAATCATAAAGAAAACCTTAAAGAGAACAGATAATTCTCTCAGAGAAGATTTAGCGTACCCCTCTGATAACTAGTCATTCATGATAAAGACTAAGTTTTACTAGGAACTTTGTAGAGAACAGAGTATCAGAGCCTTTGCTCTATCAGATCCCCTAAAGAGATGACAGAGCAAGACTCTTTTCATAACGAACTCCTGAGGGTTGAGATGGTATTCGCTAACCTCTGGGCATCTGTTAGCTCGTTGGAAAAATGGGCTAAAATATGTAAAGCAACTTAGCATAGTATCTAATATACAGTAGGTGCTCTGTGTATGTTTCCTGATCAATTATGAGTTGTTATTTATTGAGCACCAACCATGTACCAGACCCTATGATTGTTCCTTTATATATAGCATTTCCTAGTAGGTACTAAAAGCCCATTTTCTTAGATGAATTAAGTGACTCAGGAATTCAGTGTATTTAGAGAAGGTTAAAATATTAGCTAGAGATGTGGCTAGCATTTGAACCCAGCTTGTCTAATTTAAAATCTCATGTCCTTTCTGTTACTCCACATTATTTCATTAAACTGTTATTGTACAGTTAAGCAAGCTAGATAGAAAATGAAAATCAAGTAAGCTGTAGTAAAAACTTAAGAATCCTAAACTAAAAATATCCTTTCATGCCTTAACGAAGAATGGAAGGTAAACAACATGAAATAAGCCAATAAACCACAAATGAAAGAGAATAAAAGGTGTTGGTAAATGTCTTAGAATAGATACAAACATTAATTAGATGTCTGATTTTTTTTCTTTTCCAAGAGGACCTTTAAGAACAAAGTAATTATGTTCTTTCCACCTTCCTCTCTCCTAAAAAAAAAAGGACACTAGTTCTTGTTATGTTTCATCTGATTAAACTGTCCCAATCCCTTGGGCAGGTTTTATTCTGGAAACCCCTCAATAGCAAGAAAAGCAGTCAGTTAGCTAGCTCAGTTCAGCTCTAAGAGCTGAGTCTTAGATTCTGTGTTCTGGAGTATTAGGCTGGGTGGTCTTCTTACCTAGATGCAACAACTTAACTACCACATGAACCATGCTGTACTTTTCACACAGTGTTTTAAAGAGCTGTTCATTTAGTCTTGGGGCTGGGTAAGAGAGAAAAAATATGGAGACAGAATAAATAAATGTAACTATGAATGTTTACCAAAACATAGAATCAGTTGGAAAGGAAGAGACTTTAGTAACAGCAGAAATAAAGCCAGAAACCTTGGACTTAGGAAGATGAATAAAAATCTTAATTACTATGGTAAAATAACTTCATTAAGAATAAGTGGCTGCCATATGGTGTCGAATTCCATTATCCTTTCAACCTATACAAACAAAAAAGTTACAGACATCAGCCAAGCACCACTTTTCTCCCTGTCAGTACTGATACTGTGACAGGACAGTAAAAAGCTAGGAAGTTTTATGGGCAAGTGGAATAGGGAAACTGAGATAAGAAAATTAAACAAGACCAAACAATTTGAACAACTTATACCAGCTGGTGAATTGCAAGACCTTACTTCTCCTAACCAAGGACACTTGAGAGCAAATAACTCTCCTCCCTAAAAAGAGAAAAAATATCTTAAATCACCCTAGTCTGGGAAAATAGAGAACAATATGGTTTAGGATTACTTTAGAAATAGGAGTAAGTACTTTTGTGATTAAACTCTACTCTCCATTAACACAAAACTGGTATTGGCTTTCACTTTAACCTCCGAAAGACATTATATTTGTTTGTTGCCAGTTTTAAATGGGCAAAATTGTAAATAAAGCATTTTAAACAGAGGCACTCATAAAGCTTTAACATAATCATTTTCCATAAGTCCAGTTTTATTTAGATATTACATGATTGCACATAGATACACTTAGACATTTTATATTATATATAAAATATAGATAATGTGGGAGTTTCTGACAAATGATTGTTAATGAAAATTTATTAGCTATATAACCTTTGAATGCCAGAGAAACTTCACTATATACAAATTAGCACTAAGATCCAAGTTCTTTTTTAAAAATATTTTATTTATTTATTTTTAGAGAGGGGAAGAGAGGGAGAAAGAGAAGGAGAGAAACATCAATGTGTGGTTGCATTTCACACGCCCCCAGCAGGGACCTGGCCTGCAACCCAGGATGTGCCCTGACTGGGAATCGATCCAGCAACCCTTTGGTTCGAGGTCTGGTGCTCAATCTACTGAGCCACACCAGCTAGGGCCAGGTCCCATTTTTTGAACTTTGGTTGTATGCATATGCCTCAATCACCAAGAAACAAACAATAATGTTAATTTAAAAAGAAAAAAACACCCAAGAAACAAAAAGTCCTCCAGATTTCTTGAATCTATTATTTTTAAACACCATTTGGGGAAGTTCTCTTTTATTCTACCTTTTCTTCCATCTTGGTCAGTTTCTGAAACCATTATCGATATAAACTGATCAGAGGAAACAGGACAAACCACAGCAGATAAAGGCAGTGTCTCAAAAGAATTATTTATGGAAATTATTGTCTTGAATACAAAACTGTTTTAACGTAGGAGATTTGTATTGTGTAACATGCATAAAAAAGTCCCAACTCTTAAATTTCAAAATTTGAAAACTCAATGTCATCATAACAAAAGTTGGGGATGAAAGGCTCACAGAGATATCTTCAACAAACCCGTTAGAGAGGTTCTTGGATTCCAGCTTCTTCCCTGCACCACTGGCCTCTGCTGGCTGCAGAGGCAGTTTGTATCACACACAGGCATCAAAATGAGGCCTGATGAGGTGAGAACCACCTTTCATGAGAATTCACAAGAAATCTGATGGGCAAAGAAAGAACAAAGAATGAAGATTGAAACAGAAAAAATGGGGGGACAAAAGAGAGGGCTTAGATGTACAAACTGACAACTGCACGTATGTGGAAGGGACTGCACCCTTGCATACAAGTGTGGATTATACACACATTTATATTAAGTCAGTTCATATATTACACCTGACAAGTCTAACAGGATGTTTCTGCTAAGAGGTGGAAGGAGGTTCTATTTACTGTTCCTCAGGCCCCAGTTCTTTGTCCTGGCTGGTTGGTGGTCTCTGCACAGGACTCAACAGCATGGTACATGAATGGGTAAAGCTTCATGTCTGGCCCGGGGGTGGAACAGTTTCTACATTCTTCATTGTAATATCGTAGCAACAGCTTATATACTTCTCCTGGAGAGTAAAAGGCCAGACCAATTAGCATATTAAGTTATGAAGATGGATGAAATTACTGAAGAACACTCAGTTTTATCTTAAATAACATATACTTAAAGTTAACTATTGAAAATAGAGTGTGAATACCTTAAGGAAACTACTTATTAGCTCATGATTACAACCGGCTATATATAGGATGGGACAAAAGTAGGTTTACAGTTGTGAGTACATGAAACACAGTTTATTCTTGTATTGTTATTTATTAATTATTGTACTATTTTCCATATGAACGACTATAAACCTACTGTTGTCCACCCTGTATAGTGCATTTATCATGCATCACTTTGGGAGTTCGCGGCAACTCTCATTCTACATTAAGCTCCTATGGTAGCAAGGCCTTTCATGTCCAGCTGAAATCCACTAGATAAGGATGCTGGCGTATCTGATAAATATCATTGAGAGTAAGGCCTTTTAGGTTTGAACTTACCTTCCTACACCTTCCCTCTTTTAGTTTTTAGTTTAGCATACAAAAACATAAAAATGGACACTAAGTCCAGTTTCTTAGACTTACTTTAACAAGCTGATAAACTTTTCAGAATGTGGATGACACTTTGCCAGAAAAAATGATTCTACAAATGTTGCTTTCTAAGACTTTGGCCTCCCAACCCTCAAAATCACACTTCATTTTTTCTTATTTACTGCGATCCATCCAGATTTCGCAGGTGTTCCTCCTGCTAAATCTATCTAGACACCAGTTTCAAGACTATCTCCTACTTACCAACAGTCAGCTTTTTTTCAGTAAGAAAAGTGTGCATGCTGTAAATGTCTCTCATCAATTCTGAGTCCCCAAAGGTGAAATAAACCACATCTCGCTCAGCTACAGCAGCTGCCAGTATCTGTATTAAGGCTGTAGCAAAGAGAAAAAACATAGCTATAAGATGACACTTCCCATCAAGACACCTTTAGTTATTCCAACCAGCTAAATTATAGCTGCTATGCCAAAGAGTTATCCTGTGTTAAAGATTTATAAACCTAATAAACACATTATTAGAAATGGTAAATACAGGGTGGGTATAAATCATCTATTTGTGTGACTTTTCAGACATGCTGCTGAGACTATCATTAAGCCACAGAATTCCTACTCAAGTGCCTTTGTGGGAAAACACAGCACGTCAAGGCACTAGAGTGGTATTTCTTCTTGCTTATATTAATCTGGAACTAAAATTTTTGTGTTTGTTTGCCTAAGTATTTTGTCTCATTACAGTCACTGGTCTTTTGTGTACTAAGAGTTTCTGAGATTTTCCCTGACCAATGTCCTTGGAAGGTATAATGCCCTCATTAATCCTGCAGCAAGCATTCTCATCCCTCCTGCTCTCCACCTCTACCAATCACAGTAGCAGGTAGTGAATGTAACTGAAAACGTGGGACAGTAACTCTGGCTTGCTGGAATGGGAAAGTCATTTAGAACCACTGTCCCTAGGAGTCAAAGTTACAAATCACTGAGACTCAAGTATGTTTCTAAAAGTTAAGTTTCTTTATAATTTTCTTCTCAACAGACAAAATTTAATTTTAAATACCACAAAATTGAACACAGGTACAATAAATGCCCTTTTGCTTAATAAGACTTTTTCCTTAATAAAAAAGGAGGTAGAAATCAAACTATAATGGGGTAAGTTTTATATAGTTTTACTTTTTTGAAGCATGTTAATATTCTATATATTCAAAAACTAAAACTAAAACATAAGAATGGTAATGAGAAGGAACCTATAATTGAAAGCAAACTAAAACAAATGAGACTAATTTTATTTCAAAAGAATAACATAACTACACAGAAGGGAAAGGAAAAAGAAAAAGATGAAAGAAAGAACTAATGTAACTTATTAACACAATATTTGACTAATATACTCTCAGTTCCACGTTTTCAGTTACATTCACTACCTGCTACTGTGATTGGTAGAGGTGGAGAGCAGGAGGGATGAGAATGCTTGCTGCAGGATTAATGAGGGCATTATACCTTCCAAGGACATTGGTCAGGGAAAATCTCAGAAACTCTTAGTACACAAAAGACCAGTGACTGTAATGAGACAAAATACTTAGGCAAACAAACACAAAAATTTTAGTTCCAGATTAATATAAGCAAGAAGAAATACCACTCAGGGGCATGAAGGAATTACAAACAAATTCCTCACTCTTTTTAGGTCTGCTTACTTATAGTACAAGCAAATCAATTCTGAAAGTATTTGTAAATATATTTCAGGATTGAACAAGTAAATAAAAGTTGACATTATTGAGAGCCAGGATTCTCTCTAATGGAAAAAGACCAAAAAAAGTTCTGAGAGGAGACAGATTGAAATGGAAGGCACTGGTGCATGGTCCAACATCTAAAATATGAACATATTGTGTGTGTGTGTGTGTGTGTGTGTGTGTGTGTGTGTGTGTGTGTGAGAGAGAGAGAGAGAGAGAGAGAGAGAGAATATCTCTTTAGCTTTGTCTGCTGAGAAAGCCCAAAAGAAGACATACCAGTAGCAGTGAGCACACCTAGTGACCATATCTTGGTATCTAATACCATTTCCCCTAAAAGGAGCTGGATTCCTCAGAGAAATGCCTGATTCATATGGTTTGGACATAATAGGTACAAGACGAGCCCAAAAGGTTTTGCTATCAGAGGAGGTAAAGAAATGTTAAAAAAAAAAATGATGGGAGAAAAAATTGATGGGAGCTTGTCACAAGGATACAAGAGCCAACTGGAAAAATCTCCCCCTAGCCAAATCTGGACAAGCTAAGGACAAAAATGTTAAGTACAGTAATATATGAATTGCTGAGTCCACACTGATAATACATAATAAATAGAAAAGAGGAAGAAGGGCTTTTGCTCACAGGAGAAAGCCAAGGACTAACCAGTTAAGTGTGAAGAGACTGCTAGAGTGAGGTAATCTTTTTGCAACTCTCATGGCAAAAATGGAATCTGGTAAAAATCATTAAAGGATACTAAATTTAAGACATTTTGTCTTAAAGTGTCTTTCTACAGACTGCTTATAAGCTACAAAAAAGAAAAAAGAAAAAACCCTCAATATTCATACAGTGGAGAAATCAGACATCATCTTGACTGGGTGATCAAAATTAACATCACCATTGGGGTCAGATGGTCATCAAATGCCACTATAACCATGCAGTGCTCTGACTGAGAATGCATAACCTCAACCTAGTTATGAGGAAACAGCAAACAAACTAAAGGAACACTGTGTTCTTAAAACACATCAATGTCATAAAAGACAAAGAAAGGCTCTGGAAATACTCCAGATTCAAAAGAAGGCTAAAAGAAATGACAATTAAATGCAATGCTTGACTCTAGACCCTGTACTGGAGGGCAAGAGCTATAAATGGTTCTATTAGGCCACCTGACAAAACTGGAACATAGATGATAGAGTAGATAAAAATATTCTGTCAATGTATAATTATGAATTTAATAACTAAGATGTGTTTTTAAAATGTTTTTAAAAATTTTATTTATTTTTAGAGAAAGGGGAAGGGAGGGAGAAAAAGAGGGAGAGAAACATTGATGTGAGAGAAACATCAATTGGCTGCCTCTTGCTTGCCCTCAACTGGGGACCCGACTCCTCATGACCCAGCCATGTGGCCTCACTACCAATCGAACCAGCAACCTCTCAGTTTGCCGTATGATACCCAACCCACTAAGCCATGATGGTCAGGGCAATTCTAATATGTTTTATATAGAAAATATTTTATTCTTAGGAAGCACACTGAAATACTTAGGAAAAGGGGCATAATGTATGTAACAAACTCAAATGATTCAGAAAAAAATTGTGTGTATCCATATAAATATACAAAGTCTGTCCAGAAGGTATCTAGCCATTTAATATTTAAAAGTTTGTTGAAGAAGGTACAAGATACAAGAAACATTGTACATAGGACAATGATGCCTCAGTCCTCTTCAGAGTAGGCACCTTGGAACCTCACACAGTTCTCCCAATCACTGTCAGCTGCCCCATTGTATTTTCCTGAATCTTATCGACAGTCTGAAATCTCTTCCCTTTCAAAGGTGATTTTAGTTTTGGGAAAAGCTAGAAGTCTCAGGGCACCAAATCTGGGCTGTAGAGGGGCTGAGTCACCTGGGTGATTTGATGTTTCACCAAAAAACTCTGCATAAGATGTGATGCATGAGCGGATGCATTGTTGTGAAGCTGCCAATCACCAGTTGCCCATAGCTGTGTCCTTCTGAATCATCTGAATAGTTTCAGTGGAGGAATGTTCAAGCTTAACGCAAAATTTGATGCAGATTTGTTGCTCTACTTGCTCAGTCATTTTGAATGTGACAGACACACAGTATACATGATTACTCAATGGCATCCACCCCACTGACTAGTACAGTGAAGTTGTCATTGTTCATGCATGTGCATTCCAGTCCACTCTCCTTGGCTGTCAGGTGCACATGGTTCTTGTTATATTAACAATGGCTGGACTTTTTCCAGACAGACCTTGTAGATACACACACATGTATGTCTGTACACACACACACACGCCCGTGCACACACACACACAGAAAGAGGTGTTAATTTTACTTTTTGTAATTTTCATACATTTGAAGTTATTTTCAAATAAAAAGTTTTAAAATTTATGTAGGAATCTGATATTTAAGATGAGTTGAGTATCCTCCCATTTTTAAGAAAGAATATAAGAAACTATACTATATGTGAGATTGTAAAATACCAAAGTATTTCCTAATTTCCAAACTAATATATTTATTGGGTATCCATAATATGACTAGGCCTCATTAATCTTAGACTACTGAAAGTAATTAATCTCAAAAGAGATGTTTTAATTAAAACTGCTCATCCAACTTGTGTATACATTAAAGCTTCAATACACTCAATTTCAAAAGGTTCCAACTATCCTAAACTACATATACGAATGGAAACTAATCACTTGTCATCTTCCTCTACCAAGAGGTATCATTTCTTATCTTAGTTTGAATGAGATTTTGGCTTTAAGTATTTCCTATTTAAAGAGAGAGAGAGAGAGACCCAAAGAAATGTCCTTTTAATTCTATTTTTTCCTTATATACAGAAATACTATAAATGTGGTCATTTGCCATTCAAGAAAATGAAATATGATAAAACATTAAAAATTTATCTCCCTATAAAGCTTATTTTTAAAATGCTTCATAGGCCAAGAGCATCTGAGAGCTTGCTCCTCAGCATATGTTGTCAGCTTGGCTCAGAAAAATTCTTATCAAAATTAAAAAAAAAAAAATGCTTCATAGGCCATTTTGTCCCTGTGGATAGGCTCATGGAGATAAGCTTGACAGAGTTACCAAAAATAGGCCAGTTCCTAACAAGAGACACCAATTCACATTATGTTCTTGATTTCACATCTGTTTCTGTTTGGGTGCAAATTGTAACATAAGCATGTGTTAGACAAGTTGAGACTGGACATAGGAGACCCCATTCAGTTCTCATTCTTTACTACCTACCTCAATTTGTGACTTCAGCCAAGTTACTTAATTTTCTTCCCAGAATTTCCCCCAGCTATGCAATAAAGGAGTTCAATCAGGTCCCCAAAGACTCTTTCTGAATGTAGAATTCCATAATCTCTGCTATAATTTTTCTCTTTTCATTGGATATTAGACTATACACTCACTAGTAAAATTTTCAGAAATTACTCTTAACCCTAGATACATCAGTAATCACTAATAAAAGATTATTTTAAACAGAATTGTCTTTAGACTTCACTATCTACAACATCCCCAAGACCTTTATATATCTAGAGAATTGTGTTTTATGAGTTAACTGAACCCTCTTGCATCACAAATTTAATAGGATGTGTGGCCTGACTCCAAGTATGATATAAAAGCATCAAATTCTAACTTCAAGCACAAGTAGGTGCCAA